GGAACTCAAACGGTGAAGCTCAGTATAAAAGATGTACAAACTGTTCAAACCTTGAATGTTAATGTGAAAAAAATGATATCACTAGATGTAGGGTAGCTATTTACCAACGTTCCACTTAATGAAATGATTAATCACCCAGTAGATTAGCTAATAGAACAGAAGACAGGAATAGTAATCTGATCTGAGAAAATAAAAAGGGGTATTACTGAAATTTACAATAAATTTTCATTTTATATTTGACATCGAATTCCATAGACAGATTAATGCAGTTGAGATGGGGTTACATCCGGGTCCTATGCTATAGGATATTTTCTTGACAGGACTTGTAAATGGTGCAGCCAAAGACACAGTTAATAAGTTAGGCTATTATTGTTGATATGTAGATGACACTCTCACTGTTTGCAGCATACTTCAAAAGCAACAGATTTTAAATGTTTTACATAATATCTACCCAGTATTTTAGTTGACTAGTAAGAGAAAAGAAAGCGTATTTTTCTCAGATTTCTGCCTAACTAAGAATGTAAATGAATATTTGAAAAGAAGTATATTCAGAAAAGACACCTGGACTGGCCAGTATATCCATTCCCATGGTTTCACACCACTTGACTTAAAATGAAACGTAGGTATCTTAGTTACAGAATAAGATGTATGTGTTTTGACGGCTACAAAGTTGGGAAGACGTTTAAAATAAATTACACAATACATAGAGAAGGCTATTCGAAAAACTTTCTGAAAAAAATGGAAAAAAAATGCGTCGGTGGCACACTGGTTAGGACTCTCGCCGACCATGCACATGGCCCGAGGTTCGATCCCCTGCCGACGCACACCTGATATCTATGGTCGGCCTGCAAAATTTGGGCTACCGATATCCATGCTGAAAATTCCATACTTGTATCAAAAATAAAGTGTGGAATCAAGCTGTAAATCAAAACCAAAAAAATAATAATAATGGACACTGTAATTAAGAAAACATTATATCTCAGATTGTTACAAGGGATATCGTTAAGTGTCAAACGGATCACGAGTAAAGGGTGAATTACAGATGATGGACTCTCCAAGGTCCATATCACCTCAATCAATCCCTTGTGGCTGTACTCAGAGGGCTTTACCCATGCGTGCAGATCTACGTTTACAGGTATGGTTGTGCAAAAGCATAAACAGCATAGTGCTTAGTCATTTTTCAAATAGCAGACATCAAACTAAACGCTAACGGACGTTTTCATTGACATACTGCGTTTTTCCATTATGGGTAAATTTTGTTTTGATAAAGTCTCACAGTGTTATACAGTAATGTTTAGTGATGACGTTTCGAGCACAATTTATTGCTCACAATCATATCAAGGTAATCACACAACTTTCTAACTTCATTTATATAAATGAACAATAAATTGTGCTCGAAACGTCATCAGCAAACATTACTGTATAACACTGTAAGACTTTATCAAAACAAAATTTACCCATAATGGAATTATACTCTACCACAGTGCACAAGTTTTATTCTTATATCAATGATACTGCGTTTTTGATGTGGTTGTGTTCTCTGAGGTGGATAGTTAATTTGCGAAGCTTTCATCGACCTACTAGGCGACATCTTCAGCGCATACTTCAATGCGATGAAGTGAACTTCTAGGTTTCTCCACGAGTTTATTAGTCATTTCTCCGGGTGACCTTGGACGTGATTGGTTGTTTTTGAGTGTTTTCTCACCCTCTAAGTTACTTGTATTTGAACTGATTGTTTCTTTGACTTGAACTTTGACCCTTTGTGTGTGAGGTTTATTTCTTATCGGTTGATAAGTTTTGTCTATCTCGATGTGTCTATTGATTGATGATTCACTGGAATGCCAAGCCTCTAAAAATTCTCTAGCATTCTTGTTATTTCCTCTGTCTAATATTTGAACACTGGTTGTCCCAGTCGAATTGATGTCAGTGGTTGTCTGTATGCAGCGAAATAAGAGAGGGAGTGGATGTCATGTCTTTTGACGGCTAGCTTATGGTCGTGGATACGAAGACGAAGGGGACGTCCACCTTGGCCAATGTAGTGTTTTTCTCAGTTGCTACAATTTATTTTGTATATGATGTCGGTTTCATCTTCTTTCGCTGTTGAGTCTTGTGGTTGGCATAGAACTGAGTGAAGTGACTTTGTTGAGTTGTGTGCGACGTCAGTTCCACAAGGTTTGACGAGTCTTGCAGTGATTTCTGAGATGTCCTTAATATATGGTGAGGCGATTTTCTTTGTGCTTTCGTTGGGGACTTTTGGTTTGATAGGTTGGTCTGGGGGTATATGTCTTTTGATGAAATTCCGTGGACATAGCTCATCGGTTGGCTAGCCCTCCTTAACTAACACTCTACGCCTAACCTCATTATTCCTGGCAGACTATAGGCAGTTTACACAGTTTCAGACACAGTCGAACGACCCATGTCAGTATCCTATTCATGTAGGTGTTGGATGCTAGGCAAGTTCAGAGTATCTGTAGACCAGTAAAGTGTCCCTAAAATTGTTCTTTCAAATCTCTTGAGAGATAACAGAAGCATTGCTCTCCTCAGTAATAGTCTCATTCATAATTTGCATTTTACAAAAAGTTTCCCTAGTAAGCATAAATAGTTTTCTGGTGTCACTTATCGTCGATGCCTTTCCAATCTCCTTCGCTTTTGCTACCCACTACTTTGTTGTTGCAGAAACTTCCCGTCAACTTGTGTTTGGGAAGCTTTTGCTCCTCATCATGGTGCGAGCCTACCAAAATCAGTCTTCTTGCTTCAATCATTTCAGATGAAGCAACAGAATCCACTGGCATTTACTACTCTATCTTTTCAGGCTATCAGCAGCTTTTGTCACTGTTTCTACAAATAACTGGATATCATGCCAGGCTTCATCAGGACGGGTATTACTGTCAGATTCAGATACGTGTTAAATTATTTCTTCTTTTAAAATGGCTGTTCTTCTCACGTTGAGGAGTAGCGATCTCGCAGCTGCCTATTTTGTGTCTATCCAGCCCTTAATATATATGTGCACACATTATTGCACATTCGCAGGTGTTCCAGTCTTGTACTCAACTTTCCCATCTATGGTCTATTCTTGTGTGATTTGTGTATATTGTTTGAAATTAGTGCTGACCAGTAGCAGATGATTACCTGAATAGAATTGTATTATCGGCTAATCCACACGAGACTTAAGGCGTCCTCACTATCCTTTTCTGACACAGCTCCCTTACTCGAGTGTTGAGATCACCCACTAAAATGACTATCTGAGAGGTTTGCTTTTAGAAACAAAAGAAAAATAGGGTGGAGAGGTAGAAAACGATGCCAGAAAACTGTATCCTTATGTCCAGAAGAAATATGTACAGTCACTTTGTTTACCTTGGTCCACGAATTGATCAGGCCAACATAGTCCCTATAAACTTACGCCAACAATTAACACTTGCTACTTTCTTTTCCTCATAACCAGTTTTGCTGATAAAACTTTGTTTTTTTCATAGCCTCCGTTCTATTGCTATTAGTAACTTATTTAGGTATGCGTACACTTTGTAGATTTATCATCACATTTACACAATGCTCGTCTTTCTGCTTTATTAAACTCCTCCTTATTTCACTCACACACTCGTGTTAACACTACGTTTACACCATACCATTGTAATTATTCATTCCAACAACTTGCAGCATTCACATTTTCTCTCATACCCTTCACATTTTGAAACTTGTACTTTTGTTGTTTATGAATGCATTAAAACTTCATTCAGTTATTTAATTGCATGTTCTTAATGACCGTACATTCTGTATGCATTTAAATGATAATCAATGCTGACTATTATTCCACCTTATACCTGTACCATAATACAGTCTGTGATGTAATTTTAATTATATGCTATTAGTGATTTTTTTTTCCTGTATAGCCTGATGAATTCATCCAATACAACTGTTAAATCTAACTAGTCTTATTCTAAATAAGTGTTCATGTTGTACCTAATTATTAATGTAACTTACGAAGCTGAAATCATGACGTTTACTGACCTTACAAACAGACAAACCATCTGTACTATCTTAAGCAAAACTACTTTTGACGTAATATTCGAGGTTGTATATTAACAGCTCTACGAAATAAAATCTCTGGTCACAGGTTCTATCTCTAAGTGGCAGTGAAACTCTCGTCAGGTTACTATGAGTTTTAACGAAAAAGATCCACACATGGCGACGGACGTGTGATGCCAGTACCTTTTATTCTCGGATGTTAAGCAACGCTGTTATGTTGCCTCTCTATTTTGTTGACCAGGTCAGAAAAAGTTGGCTTATAATATAACGCATTATAAGACTTAAACAGATTGCGCTCGGCCTGAAACAAATAAAATCAATGCAGCCACACGGAACCCTTTTTCGTCTCAGGTAACTAATATGACACCTCATGAGACTATTGGGCCTCGCAGAGTGGTCTAATTTTTCGGACTGACCATCTAAGAACAGAAATCAGTACTTCTGTAAATCTAGAAAGAAAGTGACTAGATCTTAGACACCTTAACATTCAGGTAATCACCCAGCGATCGCTTGTCACTGGAAGTCAAGTGTTATAACTTCAGAAAATTAGCCAGTTTGTTTCTAGAGTCATTTGAAGCTCAAGTAACGATATGATAAAAAGTGCTATCGCATGAAATTAAACATCACTTGTCATTACAAACTATGATCTTGATAATCTCAATCCCAGATTTCAGAGTGTTTTTACTTACACACTAGCGAATAACGAAAAGAGCAGCTATGAAGACAGATGGGTTATGAGTAACTAACACAGGTTTATGAATTACTCGATATTTTATACTACTAGAATTAACCAAAATCGTTTTGCAACAGACATTCTTAATTGTTTCTACGGATATAAATGAAGGTAACAGCAAAATATTTTGTTACATTTCTAACCTTACAAACATAACTACGTTCCACGAGAAGTACTGGTATGTGAATTAAGATAATTGGAAGTTTAGTTAAGTAGTTATCAAACGCTAGAAAACAAACGAAGTGATAAATTTGCTAGAATTTATTGCTAATCAATGTAACAAATGTACATGCAAGAGTTGTGAGAGGGAGATGAGTAATCAGATAGAGGAAATACTCTATAGGTACTAGTAGGAAACTTTCTTTAAATCTCTACAAATAATGAGGTGTGGGACAGATAATAGATTTATATAAAGAGAATGATTTTTTAAAAGTATATTTATATCTGATAGTAATAAATCTAATAAAAGTCGTGATTCATCAAAAATAAAAACTTCATTAAACTTATGAGCATTTAAAATTGTGTTCTCAAAGAAATTCGCTGAAAGCTTGTCTATCGCATTAAACTTCCAACAGGTAAAAGGAAGACATCGTATAGAATTATTCTGGAAATAACTTCTTAACGGTGTTCTGGATGATTTGCTAAACAGTGAAGAAAACCTTTGGGATCGAGCTTGCGCGTACAAATCCTGTGAACAGCAGCAAAAAGGGGATATTTTTCCAGAAGACCTTTGGGTTCTAACATTGCATAAACTTCTGCGGCTGTAAGAGGACCTTGGGCACTCTGACCTTTCAAACGCTCTTTTTCCAAGGTAGCCAGTGGCTCATTTGTGGTTGCCAATGCTATACCCATCTGTTTGTTTCTACCACCATAACAGGTCGTTATAAGGTCAGCAACGCCACAACTCTCCAAAAATGTCCCCTCTTGTGGATCTATAAAAAAGGCAAACGGTGGAAAATATATAGGCACGTCAAAACTGATTTTCTGAACCAAACATAAAAATGACTTCCCTTTAAGCACGTAGCGAAATGGTTTATTACATCTCATGCTTTTAATGACAATAAACTGTATTTGGTTGTTAATGACCATGAAACATATTTCTCAACAGTTTTCTAGATACTTTGAACAGTATAAAGATTGGTAGCCCAAAATGAGTGCGGGAATAGTACATTGAAGAAGCTCTAATATTTGGTCCTGGATGCTTCACTATCAAAATTGTTGAAATCTTCAGCATTAACTTCCGCAAAACTTATTAATGGAGATCATCAGATAATTTTTTAATAGGGTTCACAAAAGCAAAACACAAAGATGTCGAAATAAAGAAATCTGTGCTCTTCCGACCGTTAGCTACTACCCTTAAAGTGGTGGTCGAACTTGCATATCACAATGACCCAACAAGCTACACTGGCCGGGACTAATAATCCTACAGGTCCTATCATGTCGAAAAAAACCGTTAGGACAGCGGTTAGACTTCTTTATTCTACATGCCAGCTATGCTGTCTCTGGACTCAGGAGAGAAAGGTTTAGAATAGGTCGACCCTAAAAACTGTGCATCCCGACTTACCCTACAGTGGATCGTTGCCAGCTATTAGTTACTAATACGGAACCAAACAAAAAAGCCAGTTCAGAAAGGCTTCGTGTACGACTTCAAGAGTTGTCCCTTGGGTTGTGCGGTCAAGCAACATTAACTGTCTTTCTGTTTCAGGTACCCGAGGAAAAAATCAGCTTCCACGATGTGGACAGCCGGGAAGTAAAAACCGCCCACACACTTCCAGAAGCACACGAAGCCCTGCAGATTATCATTTTCCTTTATTCCTGTCGCTTCCCTACTGATGCCAATACTATTCTGAAAGCTAATCAGTCATCTCCACTTAATTCTGTGAACACAAATAACGATGAGAGCCAGAAATACACCCCCGCTAGCCTCTGAAAGCCAACTTCATTTAGGAGCATTCAACGTCAAGACCGTCTGCCGAATAGGACAACAGGAATCACTAGCAAGAACTCTGAGATCCCTAGCCATTAAAATAGAGATACGCTTACATGACCCAAGTGTGGTCATTAACTTAGACCCACCCGGCCAAGAAGGTGAATCTGCAAAATTCACCTAAAGGGTATCAGGAGACTCAGCAAGTTCGCGAGGACTTGCAGATGCAGGTATAGCATTGCGTGTTAGGGCAGAAAAATTACTTCTTGATTGGATCCCAGTAGATAGTCGTATGTGTGCAGTCCGCCTGAACTGGTCCGTTAGAAGAAGGAAGGACGGCGTTACCCGTCATTGTCTTTTCGTAGTCTGCACTTAACCCCCAACCAACTGCAGTTCGGATGAACTAAAGGATGATTTCTACCTGAAAGTGTCTAATTTGCTGTAAAGCAAAACGTTCAGATATAGTTGTTTCAGCAGGCGACTTCAATGTTCAAGTAGGAAAGTTAGGCCAGACTGAGAAGTATATTTGTGGTACCTACGGAGCTCCCTGCCGATGAACTGACAACAGCGATCGTCTTTCATAATTTTGTTCAGAAAATCATTTGTTCTTAGTCAGGACCAACTCTAGGCACATAGAGACATTGCCTAACCTAACGACCTCCATCACCAAATCGATGCTGAACTTAAATAGACCACGTAGAGATAAGGAAGTAAAAAACTGTTGGCAGTAAAGCAATTACGCCCCCAACTAGATCAAGAAACTGAGTCCCTATTTAAGCAAGAAACAAGTATCTGAGGTCGACAGCAGGACTCCTCTCGAAGAAGCCTGGTACAACATATAGTTAACTATAGACACAGCTGTAAAAGCTATTAATAACCTGAAACCTAAAGCTTGTAAGATCCAGTGGACTTCTAATACCTCACCCGAACTGAATGACACAGACTGATTCCGGCGAGCTCCGAATATGATGAGGAGAGAAAGTAGCCCAAACACAAGCTAACAAGAAGTCTTTGCAACGGCTGTGGACAGTGGTGGGTGACTAAAGCGAAAGAGATGGAGGAGGCGACGGCAGTAGGTAACACCAAACAACTATTTAGACTTATCAGGGAAACAGGTGGTAAAAGACAAATGATAAGTGAAACAATCTCTGAGAAAAATGGCACCATAATTAGCTCCCAGAATACGCAACTGGAATGTTGGAAAGAACAGTTTGAGAAGCAGTTTAATTGGCCTACAGTCACACTCAACTTACCCAGAATCCAACACTTACCTGAACGAGATATTAACACCGATCCTTCGACCCTTACTGCAGTTACAAAAGCTGATACTAGTCTGGAATGAATTAAAGCAATGGACCTGATGGAATGACTGCAGAGGTATTTAAGTACGGTGGAGACAGTTTACTGTCTGCATTAATTGAAGTACTAGGCAACGTCTGGGAATCAGAAGAAGTTCCATCGAATTGATGTAAGTCACTGATCATCCCGATATACAAGAAGCGAGACAAGTCTTCCTGTGATAATCACAGAGGGATTAGCTTGACTAATGTAGTACCTAAAGTCCTAGGCTCAATTATCATGCGTAGACTAAGCGGTGCTTGAGAGGAACAAACACGAGAGAAACAAACAGGCTTTAGAGCAGGAAGAGGGTGCATTGATCATATCGTCACCCTTCCATTCTGAAACACAGGCATACTTAACGGCGTCCAACAATCGCCATGTTTCTTCACATGAAAATGGAGTTCGATTCCGTCGGCCGAGAGGTACCATGCCAATGTTTGGCCGTGAAGGGTAAGCCGAAGAAATACATTGTATTGATCAAGACACTCTACTCGAAATCATGCAGCCAAGGGAGAGCCCATGAAGAGATGTCATCTGAAGTGGTGACAACTAATGGTGTCCGTCAGAGATGCTCACTCTCTCTATTTCTGTTTAATTTCATCATAGATTTACTTCAGAGATTCAAGGATCGGCTTGCTACCAAGGAATAATCTCGTTGACTTAGACTAAGCAGACAGTATAGTCCTCCCTGCTAGGTGAAGACGCTAACAAAACGCAGAATCTTCTGAACACCTTAACAGACAGCGATCTGCGGATGTTCAGCGTGCGATTCGCTCGTGCTGTCATATGTAAGATGATGCTACAGGGCTGGACCACACTGACTCCTAGCTTAAAGATAGGGAGTGAAATGGTGGCTGAGGGTGTTGACCACTTCACTTATCAGTCAGAAGGCTCGTTTCGCACATGCCAATTTACGCCATCTCTAGCGTAGACGTGATATCCGGCTGACTGTCAACCAAAGGACGTGTGTACTGCTCTGTGCTCCTTTATGGCTGGCTGTGAGACATCGTTACTGAAAGTGGAAGATACGACAAGGCAACTGTCTTCGATCATATGCGCTGCATTCGTTCTATCTCCCACGTTAAATGTCATAATAAGGTGAGTAATACTGAGGTTAAGGGTAGAGTGCTGGGTAAGGAAGCAAAACCAATCGACAAGATCATAAAGGTACACCGATTAAGATGGTTAGGACATGTGTTACGCATACCGAATCATCGCTTTTCTCGATGGGCAATGTTAGCTGACATAGGATGGATCAGTTTGCAAAAGAGCCAGTGATGGTCAAATCAAAACATGACATCAGTCAGTGAAATTCACAACAGTTAGTTTAAGCCACGTGTAGACTGGCTCCCTGGTTGGGGTTCTTGGGATGATAAAAACCAATGCCTGGAGATAATTGGTGTTTTCGCTTAAAATCGATCAATAACAGAGTAGATGCATTCACTTCTTGTGATTTATAATATCTAGTAAAATTCTACTGTTCTTCCACATTACTTTTCATTTTGCCTCATATTTCTGTTTATTATCTCTCTATTGAATCTCTTCTCTTGCTTTGTGTGCTAAGTGGAGTGTGGCATCTCGAACTGCTGCGCAAAGTTTTAAGTCCAAGGCAGTCAGTTAGTCTGTGATCTTGACTAAAAAACTCACATATATATTACAATTTTAGCTAAAAATGCAACTTACTTCGACAACCAAAGAATTCATAAATGAACGTTTTCATTTCCATGAATCCAAGGCGTATAATTGCAGCCTTAGTGTTGTCTCCGTAGCCTAAGCCCTCAATGACACCAGCAGCCACTGCCACAATGTTTTTCAGAGCTCCACATAATTCTGTGCCAACTTCATCTTTGATTACGACAATACGGAAGTAGTCTGTCTACAAAATCAAAAACGAAATTCAAGTTGAATATGCCAAAAACTATTTGCCAAACGAGAAAACCCCACAGACTTGAAAATTCGCATTCGAGTGCGATTTTGAAGCAATGTAACTTCAACGTAGTAGTAACTTGTAACCATGTAAGCTTTGTGCTCTAGTACCTTAAAATTATTACTTGTTACTCATCTAAACAAAACCTAAAGTAGTAAGAAGATTACTCCAGCTCCAACACTTCATTAGGTAAGTTAGTCAGGCCTAACTTCCTAAATGTCTGATTTAAAGATGATTTATACGGAAAGCCTTAACGTGAGATTGGTCTGAAATTTTTCTGTTGTCTCTATGGAAATGTATTATCACTTTTTTCGACAATAATTCTAGAGACAAGTTCAAGATACTTTCTGTGTCTGAAGATCATAATAAACCGCACAATGGTCCCTATTCATAAGTTAAGTTTTCGGCAAATAACATAAGTCTTACATGCATCCACTACCAGTGTTAACAACCATATTAAACAAAATGGTTGGACTGCACAGAGTGCTTGGTTTACTGAACGGGAAGAATCGTTTAGTAATCCACAATGGTGCGCAGTGAGCCACTAACCACCAGAGTAAAGTACGCACTACAAACGCCATTAGCGTATTTCTCCACATAAAGGTTGACTACGCAGAAAACTTATACTAACACATTTGCTAGGTCTCAGATAATTTACAAGTGACATTCGTGAAATATTGATTGAGTTAGGGAAAATCAGAGAATTACCGTACAGGGACAACGTAAAACTCACATTAAATTAAAAATATACGAATAATGAGTGGTTTTCCGAGAAACACCATATAAATTATTGTTACTTGACAGAACAATATAGAAACAAATATGTATTAAAAGAAATACCTGGAAAAGTGTTTTCAATTCCGAACCGATATGTGCATCAACAGCACCAATAGTCGCCTCACAATAATTTTCTTGAGAAACTTCAACTGCAAGGTTGGCACCCATGAGCACTGCACAAGGTATTTCCAAAATCTCCCGGATACAATCTGTCAACAATCGAATCCCATGATCGTCACTGAGGGCTAAGCCCTAAAACATGGTTAAATTGGAAAATATTGGGTGAATGTTTCAACAAATTACAAATTCAAACGGTTAGAAATCTGAACTAAATTGTGAACATCTGACCTTAAATGTCTGGAGACCAGTTCTACTGAGCATCTTTTGTTGAAATAGATTCAAAAAATGCTACATACAGTCTGCTTATAGCCTTGATTTATAAACCTATCGCCATGGAAATAACAGAATAGTCAAGCACTGTTTAAAGCAATCAAAGTAAAACAGTACAGGTATTTCATTTATAACTTCAGGTTATGACACTGAGAATGAACCAAGTTGCAATTTTCCGAATCCACCTTGAAAATTTTAATAGCAACACCTCAGTTTTACTTAAGGGCACAGCCTGAGTCAGCATCATCTGTTTTATAACAAAGACATATAGCGCAGCTCATAATACACTAACCACCCAACTGAATTTGTTTGCTTCTACCACTGTATTTCTACACTCTTTGAAGATGATTATTACTTAGAAAGCCCATATTTAATTTGACATTGCCAGAAAATATATACAGGAAGTCGTTCTTAAAGAAGTCGGTGTAACGGAAACTGCTCCTAAAACACCCCAATAAAATACCAAGATTTACACCAGTGTGGCAAAGTGTGTGCGTACCGATTGTGACATATTTGCCACACAGGTTCTAGGAATTATTTCAATAACACTATCTCACATTCTAGAGATTCATAAACCACATCCAGTCTGTGAGAAAGTTATGCGAATCATCCGTTTATATCCCCCCAGTTTCACTGACAATATATTTATGATTCTATAGCCACAATAATCATTCACAGAACGAAAAAACACTAGTTATATTTATCAATACAATTGCGAACCTGTACACGTGTTTGTCAAAAATTGCGGACTTACCTTCATCAGTGAGACAGCATATGCACCTTTTTTAACGGCTGACTTCATCTGAGAGAGTGTGTGACTCAAGAACTGGTGCGGCATGACAATTACAAGAACATCGGTGTCACGAGCAACTGCACACACGTCTGGAATGGCAACAACATTGTCTGGCAAAGTTATACCGGGTAGGTATTTTATATTTTCATGCTTTGTATTGATGATCTCTGTCAACTTGCAATTATCTACTATTTCCTCATGAACCCACATGCGAACCTGAAATTCGTTACTAAAATATACGGTTTCCTACCTCTGTCACATAATCAGGGAGTTTTTTTATATTATTTCCAACTATTTTGGCAATTGTAGAACCCCAATTTCCAGAGCCAATAATCGAAACACGCCTAAGTGCCATGATCACACACGAAATCTAACGTTATTTTCGGCCACCGCGCAGCAAAGTAAGCTCAAATTGACGCAATAAAACAATCGTTCGACCCATTTGTTTCCAACAATACATTGCTCTTAAATCAATTTATTGAACGGAGACATCTATCATTGAAAATTTTGGGAGTTTTATATTCGACAGGCACAATTAATTAGCTGTTAGCGTTGAACAGTCACGTTGCTAAGGGAGGTTCTCAGTCATCATTTCATTTCATTTTTGACTGCAGCTTGATTCCACACTGTATTTTTGGTACAAGTATGGAATTTTTAGCATGTGATATCGGTAGCCCAAATTTAGCAGGCCGACCATAGATATCGAGTGTGCGTCAGCAGAGGATCGAACCTCGGACCATGTGCATGGTCGGCGAGAGTCTTAACCACTGTGCCACCGACGCACACATGGCTATGTAATTTATTCTGGTTCTGGCCTTTTTTTTACTACCGGTGTAGGACACATATCTGAATTCCCCCGAGATATTTAGACCTATCTGCTACTAACTCAGCTATTCCAACCGCATTACTAGAAAGTTTCGTGTAAATAGGGTTTCGAACTAGTGCTTGTGAATTCATAAAGATGGATTTCACTTGTGTATGATGGAAATCTTTCGTTATGACATTTCTACCTTATCTAAATTCATCTCATTTCTCTAGGTGTGCGAATGTGACAGCAACTATGAATTTTCTCACCTCCCTTGTGATGACTGTGATGGACGCAAGCATTGTGGCACGCATTCGATTTCTGGCTTCAAATACAGGGATTTGAATGAACATTGGAAAAGTATCATGGAAACTAACTCGCAATATACTCTTTCATATCCCATGCGTTCACTAAACGTTTATTTATAATTTAGGGAGTCTTAAAATTTTCGTCTCCAAAAGTCTTGTCGCTACTCTTAGCTCACACTTGCTGCGATTTACTGGAGAAATTCCGATTGCATTGCACATATCCGTACAGGATCAATTTTGTTTTGCTGATTTATATACATATGTATGTACCATGATTGACTCAAATGACTGTTCTCCATTTCATCTCTGATGAACTTAAGTATGTTTAAATTGTGATAGAGGTTTTTGTATTTCCCAATGAATGAAAAACAAAACGATATTGTTTTTAAATTGATTAAAATAATTACCTTTGATTCTTCAGGTTATAAGTAGTTTAGGAGATAGTGCCAAAGTTGAAGTGTAGCCTTTTAATCCTGCGAAATGTCGTCATTTCTGTACTCCTCGTCGAACTTAACGAATCATCGTCAGCTGCTTCTCGGTGTTATAGAAATCTGGAATTCACAGAATTTTTTCAGCTGGAAGTTTTCATCTGCTCGAACACTAAACTGGCAAACTGAGAACCGTGTACATTTTTGATTAGCAAGATATTTTTTCGTGGATGACAGTCATGCACTTCAGCAAACATGGATGGTTAGACTGCTTGAATGAATTCGAGTTTGATTCCAATTGGCTTCAGTCAGAAATAATGCTCACGGTCGTTGTGTGGCCATACGTCCCGTTAAACTGAGCTTCGGTCATACTATTTGCTGAATCCTTAGCCAATCCCACCAAACTAGGAGGCCAGGCTGTTCTTAACATTGCCTGAGTTATCGAAGGGAGAGAAGGATATTCTTATAAAACATGGTATAGATAGACCACGGAGACATACACGCATAACCGCTCAGAACTTCATCCCTCAAGACCCACTTGTACCCACTTCGGTCCAGCCAGCACAGTTAAAAAAATGACCTTTGACAGCGAAACGGCCGAGATTCAATTAAATGGTCTGATTTTTATCCTATGCGTTGTTATTTTTGGAGTAAGATGTGACTTCACCACGCAGAAGAAGACTTTCAAAACTGTATTGTGTTTCTTTTGCTGTAGGAATCAGGTGGGTATGCTAAGCTATTCATTCTCATTTTACCTTCATATAACCTTGGCTAACTTTCAAGCTCACTTTCCGAGGTGAATGTCACTGCGTGGTCCTAACAGCCGCTGGTACACGAATTTATTGGACGTGATTTGAAGAGGTGTGTGAATGAACAAATGAACAAAGTTTTCCACTGATTTCCATCATAAGACTCCCATTTTGGATGGCACAAAGCAGTTAAGACAAATAGACCTATACTTGAAAACTAAAAGTCGTCTACAGCCATTACTAGTAGCTTCTTATCCTGATTCATGAAACTAGAAGCCAAGGTTCAGAATTTCCTTGATATTGGCGTTTTAATCAACCACACTGCTTTCGGCGATAGTGGTTGCTGACGCCTATACAATGCACGATGCTCACGAATGCAAGTTCATATACTTCGACTGCTGTAGTACTTGTCCCACTGAAACCAGACAAATCAAGATCCCGAAATGATCATCGAAAATGCGAGATTTATTCAGAGATATGAATATTGGCGCAGCGATGATTGCTTGACCAGTTAGGCATCGTGAACGAGCAACCGAACCTAAGATGATAATGTTCCAAATCGTGTTCATGCCTGGCTGCAAATCTTCTGCATAAAGATCCGAATTAAACAGTGAAGGATGGTGCTCAGCGCTGAGTGAAGAATGATTTCGAGGTACTATTTACTACTGCACTGCTAATGACTAGCAGTGCTCATCAAATGGTCCAATATCCACAGTGAGACAGAAAATACCATGTCCGAAAACGCTTGCACACTAAAAGAATTGTGTACATTCTTCCTGTCACTGAAAATCCATTCTTGATATCACTTATTTAAAATTCTCAGTGAACATCACACCACCCACCCTGAATATGTTCATAACTATTTCTTCATGCACACTTTTGGATTGAAAATCAGATTTTAGTCACTGGTACTAATTGCTCGGTTTTAAATAACGACTTATTGTTCTGAAATTTTGACTCAGATCGTTATGGCAGACATTGTGAATACGGGGGAAGTACAAGAGCTTTCGCAAAAACGTGCTAGCTCGTCTGTTTGCGTGTAAAAGATAAGGACTTTTTGAAGTTTCCAGTTCCCATGGTTGTAATGTGGGTCAATATAGGAATATAAAAGCAGAGTAAGTTTGGGTCACCGAACAGTGAACTGTTGTCTGCATCATTTACACTTTTGAATGAAAGCGATCATTATGTTGCTTACGCAATTAAACTGTCACTGAGCAAAAACAAGTTATTAAGGACTTAGTAAATACTTAAAAAATAGATTTCAGCCCTATAGATCATACTGGTATATTATTATTATATTATTAATATTGCTCCCTTGGATTCCTAGTGGAACATAGGGCTTCAACTGCACGTCTCCATTTTCTTCTGTCTTCCGCTGTACTCTTTGCCTGCATCCATGTTAGTCCATATTCTTTCAACTCCTCTTCACACGATCTCCTCCATGTCACCCTTGCACTGACGTCCCACACGCCGCTTCCCTTTCGGGTTCCACTCGAGCAATGGGCTGACGCGCGATGTCACCCAGCGGTCTCCTCAGCGAGTGTCCGATCCATCTCCACTTTCTCCTGCATATTTGTTGGTTGGCAATTGCCTCTTGTTTTGTTTGTTCCCATAGTCTCTTGTTGGTGATTCTTTCCGACCCGGCCATCTGATCTTCAGTATAGAGCCAGCGAAGACAGTTGTTGATAAAGGTCTGCAACAAGCTGTTGGAAATATTCTTTGTGACCCACCCACCAAGTTTCTGAACCAATCTGTATAGGAGAACTGACTGACTTGACGTTTGTATTGAAAATCCCACCGAATTTTGTTGTTGATGCTGGCTGAGTGACGAAGATTTCCAGATTGATTTCAGGTTGATGAATGTGTTTCTCGCCCGCCACCCGATTCTCGCTCGATTTGACATCCTCGTCCGTTCCGACTGTCTGTAGTTGAGACAATGCTTCCTAGATAAGTGAGTGAAGTAACCTCTTTTAAATCCCTCCCGTTGATGGTGATTGGCGTTGGATGTCGTTGCTGTTGTTGGTTGATCATTTTCATAACCTCCGTCTTGTCTATGTTTACCCGGAGTCCTGTCTTCGCCGGCTGCTTCTTCGACCAGTTTGTCGGTTTCCGCTCGCTTGTAAGTCTTCGATTGTGTGTGACATCAAACATAAATCATCCACGCGCGAAATCCAGATCTTCTATGTTCTTCACGTCGGTCCAGGAGATCCCTGTCTTCTCGTTTCCCACTGTCTGGTGCATAATCCAGTCCACCACAATTGGGAATATCATTGGTGATAGTAAGCACCCTTGTCTGACTCCTCTGTTTATTCAAAACGCCTCGCTGAGTTTTCCGTTGTGGATCACTTGACATGTGCCGCCGTTGTCGTACAGATGTTGAATAAGGTTGATGAATGTTTGGGGTACGCCATAGTACTCGAGTAATTTCCAAATTACTTCACGATCAACGCTGTCGAACGCCTTCTCAAAGTCTATACAGTTAAGGTAGAGGTTTGATCGCCATTCCATGCTTTGTTTCGGGAATAATGTTGCGTAGAGTTGCAATTTGCTCACTACATGATTTGCCTGACTTTCCTGAATCCAGCTTGTTCCGGTGGGGAGGAGTTCTGTATCCAGTGCGTCCTTTAATCTCTCCAGGATGATGCGACTCAGGATTTTACTTGGCGTCGATAGGAGCATGATCCCTCGCCAGTTCTTGCAAAGTGTGGCCCAAGTTACCCGTCTTTGATAGTTTCACGAGGTAACCTTTCCTCCAGTCAGTAGGCACCTTTCCCTCCTTCCAGACCTTTTGCAATAATGGAGTCAGCATGTCTGCCGTAGTCTCTGGGTCCGCTTTCAGTGCTTCAGGGGGTATTCCATCTGGTCCGGCTGCTTTTCCAGCTTTCAGAAACTTGATTGCGTTCAAGACTTCAGCTCTCGTTGGAGGATTGGTGTCAACTTGCAGTTGTGTGCGCGCTGTTGTTGGTATTTCTGGATGGGTTGCAGGTGGTGGTCGGTTCAAGAGTCCTCCGAAGTGATCCGCCCATTGTTTAATCTGTTTTTCTTCCTTGGTAATTGGGTTCCCTTGGCTGTCTTTTATAGGTTTCGCTTGTGTTGATCTCTTCCCAGATAGAGATTTGGTTATCTGATATAGTGTCCTCAGGTCCCTTTTGCCTGCTGCCTTCTCAGCTTCAGTAGCTAGATTGTCGTAGAATCGTCTTTTGTCCTTCCTAGCACTCTTCTTCACTTCTTTGTCCAGTGCTGTCTGTGTAAGTCGAGCTCAGCGT